TCTACGTGAAGGAATGTTAAGCAGCGGTTTCCAACAGAGGTCAACGTTTCCTGTCTAATGAACTCATTACCGATGCAACAAAGAGTGCCGAGGACATTTCGATACTGGAAATCGCGAAATCAAGAATCAGAATCCCGGCAGCTCGTCGTCCGAACTGAGGCTTGCTCGTTGAGTACAGTCACATACTGCACTCCACGTTTCAGCGTGCAGTATTCCATCATTGTCGTAACCATTCTTGATCTAAAACCATAGCAGCGAAAACTGAGCTCTGATCCGGTGATAGATTTTGTTATTTCTTGCAAAGAATGGTAGGGTCAAAGCTGTAAGGGCAGTTGCTTATACATGGCATGCTCATTTATAGTTGGTTTTCTATGTATATATGTTTCATTGTTTTTCATAATATTACACTGCAATATTTGGTAACGATCGGCTCATTCTGATAGCAACTTTTTAACTTAAGGTGACGAAACATATTTGAGTTGAGGATTCCTCCAACAATGAGTTCACCAACCTTTCATACATTGCAGGTCGCTGTGTTCGTCAAAACGCCAAATATGATTCTGATTTTTTTGTTTCCATCTCTCGAAGTACAGTGAGTGTTGTACCTTCGTTATGCAAATGACATATGTCCATGACTGAAACCTCTCTAAGTGCTCCACTTCTCTGAACCTGTTGTCATAATTAAGCTTGGGGGAGGTGAGACGGCAGCATTAATTCACTACTGTTGGCACCCGGGATAGACTGCCCAACAAATATTTGCCAGACAAAGAGAAGATTGGACGTGCGTCGACTTCCTTTCGTAATGCGATCACGATGAGGACAAATCGTATTAAAAAAATATCTTTTCATATTAATCCACTCATCTTGCTAGTTATCTATTAGGTTTTGGTTATTACTTAATTACATCAGATTAAATGTGAACAGTACTACTTTTCAATTGGGCTTAACTTGTTTCAGATATGAAGTCGCCAGTTTTAGAGTTTTTTTAATAGTGCTCGTTTAGGCTACTTGCGCATCAGTTTTTCATAGCCTCATGGTCATTACTGTTGATCCAACTTTTCCTGACGCTTACCATTGGTGTGATCACTCTGTTCATGTATGAAAACCAAAGCTTGCTAGCGGTTGGATGATGATCGAGTACTGCCTGATGTGTTTGATGCCGCAGTGTTTCGCTGCTTCTGTTTCGAAACAAGTAATCAGGACGTTTGTTTTCTGTCTGCCTGGCTTGTATTCATATTTGCAGCTTTCCATCCTTAGGAGAATATAGAGATCGTAGGCGTGACCGTATATTCTCTCGTTTTGCGTTGCTCATAAATGGCGCAATCTTTTTAAAACTGGTAGAATTCATTAAGTTATGCAAAAGTCAAAAATCGATCATTTGCGGATATTGTTACGGTTTCAGGTCTAGGAAAAATAATTCATAAGATTATAGTTCATAGGATTTTCAATTTCTAGAACTGAACAACTTTTCTTAAAACAGTACTTTTTTGTTTTCAACTAACATCTCATAAAATTGCTTATCACAGTAAGGTAAAGTATTTGTTTATTTGCTCTGAAAGTAAATGCCGTTTTTCGAATGAGCATACTTCGTGACAGCTAACCGAAAATGTCAAAGATGTGTTTATACACTGCATTATGTTCATTGCCGCGTAGCTCATCGAAGATCTGATTCCGCAGCGTATTGTATATACTGATGCTTTTGGTTGCTTATAGGAGCAACATCAGCAATTCAAGAGCTGCATGGTCTTGATGCACTCGAAGTTTATTTGCGACTGACTAACGGTTCTTTCCCAGCTGATAGGCTTTTTACTTTATTGCACAAACGTCACAGATACACTTGAAATTTGACCTTTGGTAAAATATGCGCCAGTGATTGAGTAATTTGTTCTTGCGTTGGTATGCATACTGAAAAATGTGTAAAAACGGTTTATTTATACACAACACAAGCAAATAAGTTGGTCAATCGGGTGATTGACGTGAGTACCGACGTTTCGGCTGATCTTTTATGAGCTGTGATCTTTCGGCTGATTCTTTTGCTTCTTTTATGAGCTGTGATCTTTCGGCTGATCTTTTATGAGCTGAGCATATCCCGCTAACACTGATAAATACATAGACGCTGACTCACCCAACCATTTAAATGATAAAAGATCTGTAATTATAGCTCTTGCAGACAGAAATCATAAACTCTGTAAGAATTTCTCAAAGAAAAAATTAGTTATAAGAAGACAACCTTATGTGGCAAGAATATTTTTCCTGTTAAGCTTGTTAATAATTCCATAAATCGTAGAATTAGTTATTTTAGATTTACCTGTGACGCTGATAAATCCAAGAAATAGCATTTTAGGCAATAAACCGTGCTTGATCCTACCGTAAAGTGTTTAAGTAAAGCTACTTAACACTAAATACAGTAATGATACTATGTATAAAAAATTCAGTAAGCTTAGCAGTAAGATCTCTTTATAATGCGAGCGTTGGGATACAGAGTGAACAACCGCTTTACCAGCAACTCGCAGCATATTGGAAAATTTTGACGGAAAATAAAATTTAGACGTGAGAGCACGGACATATTTTTGCAGATTTAATTGCAAAATACTATAAAAAAATAACATTGCAATAAAAATTTCACCTATTTTTAATCAATGTTTATAAAGCAGTCCGATATTGTCTTTTGAAGCAATGGCTGATAAGTTTTCTTCGTCACTTGTATTGCTTAATATTTTGTAAGTGCGATAGATGCGGATGTTTGCAATCACCTTGTCATTCCAGCCAATTCATCACCTTGAAATTGCTATCAATTACTCTGCTAATTTTTTGGATCTCAAGCTTACTCATCTCTTCATTGTCGCTGTCTTCATTCGATAAATTGTCTTCCTTTGCTCTTCCGCGGCTGTGGACTGCGGCTAACTTTCTTTATCGTCCTAATAAACAACGACTGTAGTCCCACGAGTAATTTGTCACTATTTTTTTCGGCAAGAGCATTGGAAGCTTTCTGTGTTTCTTCTTCCGTGAAACCTAAACATTCGTTTTCTTCCTCGATGCTACTACATGGTGCAGTGATGCACCTCAACCAGCAATTTTTATTTTTTGTTAGAACGTGTCTTTCCATTCCAGTCTGATATTGTTAAGAGTTATGATTTTATGAACTGTGGCACTTGCTGCTTTGAGTTTACAAAAACTGAGCTATTCCCAGTTTGAAACAAACTTGATATCTGAAAATAAATGGAATCGTTTTTGACTAAACTTGCGGCAAATCTTATCAGCGTAATTATGTGATTCGTTATAACGGAGCTTTGCTGTTCTTGATTACTGACTCTAATAAAAACAATTACTTGGAGAAAGTTTCCTTACAAAATGCCTTGGGACTTTGGGAAATTTTACATAGGAGAAATCGAAAATAATGTCACTCAAAGAACAAAGCCCATCTCTCAAAGTGGAGAAGAGAGATGATTGCAAACGAAACGAACGACATTCAACTATAAAACATCCAGTAAGAAAGCAGCACTAAAGGGACCTAGGGATAGTGCAGATGAGAGAGGTCAAGCCCCCCTCCTTCCTCTTTGGTTAGATTGCACGGTCATCGATCAAGAAGGAGGCTAGCTAAAAGTCGAATTGAGGAAGCCTCAATTATCCAGCCATGCGACAGTGCCAGCTGGGATAAATGATTCGAACTCTACGCGGTTTAAACCAGCCCTATCAAGCCCATGACCCGAAAACTACTTTTCCAGCAGCAAGCTTTCGACCCCAGACGCCACAATAGCTGCGGTTCACATGACCAGCTGCAGAAACCAATCTGGACCACCCTGAGGAAGGCTCGTGAGAGATGAGCCGAAACGTCGGTACGGGTCGGTCACCCGACTGGTCAACCTGTTCATTTGCTTTCTGTATAAATAAACCGTTTTATATATTTTTCTGTTTTAATT